AGACCAAGTAGGAGCTGGTACCATAGGCGAGAACCTTGGCAAGGGAACTTAGCAAAGGCCAAGGCGGTGTTAGACGGATAGACGAGGTAAGCTAGCAAATTGGAAAGGAAAAATTTGTGGCTTATATGATCCTCATGAAAGGATTCCTCATCCATAGCCTCTTGTTCGACCAGAGGCTCCAGCTCTAGCGGAGGTTCCGTCTTCGCCTTGGTTCGTTTACGCCCCGCCTTTGCCATCTCCCAGCAATCCGCCTCTATCCTTCGCTAGAACTGAGGAAAAGGCTCCGATACCAAATTGTAAGCCACAAATTTTTCCTTTCCAATTTGCCAGCTTACCTCGTCTATTTATCCAACACTGTCTTGGCTTTTGCTAAGTTCCCTTGCTAAGGTTCTCGCCTATGGTACCAGCTCCTACTTGGTTTCAGCTACTCACTACACAAGCAACAAAGTGTTAGCCATCCATCCACGAATTCCCAAATCACTCCCAATCCCCCTCCCCGGGTTAAACTGGACTTAAGGTTCGGCTACACTCCCCGTAAACACAAGCAGCCAAGCACACCAAGCTTCCAGGTTCCTAACATCCTTTGGTACCACAAGACTTGATCATTGGACCCTCTAAATCCCAAGTCTTGAGTGCAACGCTTGCTTCGGGATGCCAGGGCGAAACACCGTGGCCTAGCAGCCCGGTATGGGTACCTTTACTCCCCCACTTCCATCCCGAAGGAAGGCCCAAGCCCCTAGGGAGGGCGAGGACCAATGAGCCGCATGGTACTCAAGTGGGGCACCACTCCACATGAGCCAGGAGCACTACAATCGGTTTCCCTTTCGGGAGTGGGAGCTGCTCTTGAGAACTTCCTTGGATGGCCCCTCCGGCACCAACCAAGTCTATGCTCACTCCCACCCAAGTGTAAGCTCCTGAGTTTGGACTTCCCGGGAGGTCACCCAGCCCAGGAGCTTACACCAAGGCCCCTCAGTCCCAGTCTCAACCTCAAGTCGGTTTGGAAGCCCCACTGGAGAGTCCTTTCAAAACTGGTTCCTGGACCTCACTATCCCTACTATACTTTTGGAACCCCCCCCCCCCCCCCCCTGGGAGACGCACGCTTTGGGCTTTCACCCCTTGACCCATATTAGTATTTGGACTTAGTCTCTAGCTCGATCTCGGACTCGATTTCGGATCCGACTTCGGATTCGGTCTCGGACTCGATCTCGGACTCGATCTCGGACCCGATCTCAGACCTGACCTCGGACTCGACCTCGGACTCGGTCTCGGACCCGATTTGGGATCTCGGACTCCGTCTCGAACTCGGTCTCGAACTCGGTCCCCGAGTCGGCCTCGGACTCGATTCCGGACTCTATCTCGAACTCGGTCTCAGAGTCGGTCTTGGACTCGATCTTTGACTTGGTCCCATCCGATGAACTCTTTGTCATTTTGGTCATGCTTTCAGGGTTCCTTTAGCCTACGACACCTCGGCGAGTTGGTTCCTTATATATGAGTGACAGATTGTGTACCTCCTTGAGTCCCTCAAATTCCCTATCAAGGACTTTGACCACATAGATAACAACGAGCATGTCAAAACTACACTTTATGGTTTTATAGAGAATAAATAAGTAAAACCCGGTTGATAAGGGCAATAGAGTGGAACTCAAGTTTCAAGGTCTTGAGCCATTGAATGAAAGTATAAAGCTTAACTTCTGAGCATATAGCCAAGGAGTGTAAGAAACCACAAGCATAGGACAATTCCCAAATGTATAACCCAAAAAGTGAAGGGACAAAAGCATAGAATAACTCCCAAATGTACAACCCAAAAAGCAAAAAGATAGGAGCATAGAATAATATAAAAACAATCTTAGAGCATGTAGGATCTTAATGTTAGGATTAGCATGCAAAATAAAACCAAATAGAGTTTGGCATTATTTTAGCATATTGGTGGTCTAATAGTACTTCATTAGTTAATATGATATGGAATTTAAGGTTAAACCTAAGATGGACGCAAAACAAGGATAGGCATATAAATTGGAGCTAAATTATGCTCCACTTGACCTACCCACTATCCTTACTATACATCCCCCCCTCTAGCAACACATGCTTTATGCTTTCACCTTTAGTCTTTGGGACAATTAAATTTTTTTACTAAATATGGAATAGTGTTAGACTGTGAATCTGGACACAAGAACAACACTATCATATTCAAGACAATCTCTATATTCTATAGATATGCCTCACTAGCAAATTTAGACACTTGAAAAAATTAGCAGCCTAGACAAATGTCATAGAATCGGAATGTTGGCTAGAGGGCAAGGGACGGTTGGTTTGGTGGCACAACAAACTCATCAAGGATCTAGATTGGGACTCGACAGTGTGGCAATGAGGGGCAAATGGTTTTTCATATACAAAGTAAAAGAGGTATAGAATGGGTTAATGGTTAATAAGGAGTTTGAGAAGGAAGTGTTTTGGAAGTCACCAATCCAAAAGAAGTCCAAGAATATGTTATGCCTTGCAACAACAAATAGACTACCAGTAGGGCAGCAATTCCAAGTAGAGGACACCCACAAATGCTCAGAGAGTGGAACACTAAAGATAGTAGCACAAGGAGACATGGAAATAAATAGCAAAAGCAGCTAAGGAGCTAAGAGTTACATAAGACTTTAAGATTTGTGAAGTGGATATCACGCAATAATTTTCCAAAACAAAGGGGCTTAGTATGGGATTAGTTTTGCAAAGGATTGGTTGTTTAGGACGTTCTAGATAGTACAAGAGTTTAATAGGATGTTTATAAATAGTTAATGGGACCAAATAGAACCAATATATAGGGAAATGATAGTGAGAGTGTCTTGGCAGACATATTAAGCTATCAATATTAAGAGACCAAGCTCAATATTGTGGGGTTTTTGTTATTAACTAATGCAAGACACAATGAAACAGAAATTCTTTACTGGGCTAAATATGTTTAACTAATAGTACATAGGAATTTTGTCCTTATGCTCATCCAATCTAAGTACAATCTAAATGCCTAGTTTAGCAATACCAATTTTTTGGTGTCATAGTAGTAAGGAAAGAATATATGAAAGGGCTTGCTGATAAATAACTTTCAATACCTGTAATCATATTCACAACACTCTCCCCTCTTTAAGGAATATTGATGTCCACACAATCGGTGTATACTCTAATCTAGATCATTGTCAAGGAAATAACTAAAAAAAAAATTCATGGTATTCATATTTTGTGAAAAATGCACCAACTTAAATAAGTTAGAGGGCAACCTCTTTATTTAATGCAAATATGCTACCACTTAGACACCTTTTGGCCATCACCGATAAGAAAATGACCAACAAAGTTAGTCATCCTTATTAATCTAAGTGTCATTCGGTTTACAAAAGATGGTATACCCTTATCTACAAATGACATATAGAGAGAAGCTAAAGGCCTTAACTCTCCTAAGTAAACAAACCAAACTTGTCAATAAAGTTTAGATAGACTATTATAAACAAGTAATTAGAGTTGTTTACATGGTCACAACTTTTTAATGGAATAAGAAACATTAAGAAAAAGGTGGGTTATATGATTAATCGATAATAGCTATCCCATGATTAAAGATTTTAGCATGTATATGAAGTGTTGAAGCTAGTCTACCTATACTGGCCTAAACCAAAAGATTAATAGATGGACAATATCAAAGTTAGAGGCAATAATATCTTAAAGACCAAATTATCAATAAATAAGTTTAAGATAGAACACAAAAGGATTTTAAGTAAGTTATCCTCGTCACCCCAAATAACAATGCCTCAAGTATACATTTTCACCATCTAATAATTTACTTTAAATGCTAATAGACTCATCAATAAGCTATAGCAATTGAATGTTATAACCTTTCTAACATTTAATAAGTAAAAAGAACCAAAGTAACATCACAAGCTTAGCATAAAATGGATCACCAACAAAAATTTAGTCAAAGTTACTATAATGTTACAACATGCAAGATCACTATCAACCACTTTGGGATTGATCATTGTTTGATTAAACAACTTTGTAAATATATTACTCACATTCACATGGATATGATATAAAAATCACAATAACCTGATAATTAATTGAATAACACCACAAGCAAATCTACATTATTACTTTAAAGGTTTATGTGAGTATCAAATATCAACTCTATTTAACAAAATGCAACATACCCCACTAATAAAAATTTATAACACCTAATATTACCAATTTTAGTTGCAATATAGACAAACTTATATTACTTTTTTTTTTACCAAACTCAAAACTAATCTAACACCAAACTATATTCTAGAATATTTTCTATTCTAATTGTTGTGACTTTCTTATACTAAGCTTTCATAAACTTTCTCTAATCTTATAATTATAATGAGATATAATATCCCAAATAAATCTCAGTTAGATATAGTTGTGATGGTGGATTAGATTCTTGATTTTAAAGCAAACCAAGCATTGCTGCTAAATGCATCAAAATATTTTTTGATTTTATAATAAATTTAACCAAATCTAAACATGTTTTCTTTATCTTTATGGTGGTCAGATTCTGATCAATCAAGATCATGTTCTTTTAGAATGTGGGATGTCAAAGTCATATGTGAAACTTAAATCGTTGCTCGTCATGCCTATGCAATCTTGCTGCATCCTTGAAGGCAAACTCCTAGATTCTGTTTTCCTTTCCTTTTTCTATTGTGGCCTCTTACCGCGATCAAAGAGGGCTTGCTCGAAAAACCATCTCTGGGCCGGGAAGGAGACAATACTGGCGCCTGCCTACTCTGGATCCCAGGCTTTGGACGAAGACCTTTGTTACCTCAAACGGTTCGAGCTGGACTTTTTTCCTTCGGCCTTGCTCATCGTTGGCATTACCTGCTGTAATTGTTGTTTGATGTGGCGGTCACTCAGCTTATGCAGGTCTGTATCAAGAAATTCTTTTCACCTTTTTGCCAGAAAACAATTTTGTTAAAGGCTTGTGGCCCAAGCTTAAACCATCAACCCTAATCGCCGCTTTGCTAAGGAATATTCCATCTCCGTGTTATATACCCCCGGCTATGGCGATGAGTTCTCTCATGCCCCAGGCTGTCGCTTCATTCCTCTCACTCCTGGGCGATGATCGATGCGGGTAATCCATAAAAATGTAGATGTAGGGCGCTTGGTATCCTCGATCGATGCTGGGGTGTCGAGCATCGGATCCACAGGCGGCCCTGCGTCTTAAAATTTCTTCCTGCCGCGCATTTCCAAGATCCATCTCCCAATCTCTCTTAGGTAGTGGCGGATCAATCCACGATCTCTCATCACAAGTGATCACACATATGGGGGCTTTGCGGCGATATTTAGGACGATCCAGCCATAATTGTTTCCCTGTCGCTATCGGCAAGGAAGAATCGAGGCTCCATTCGTGAGATAGATAGCCCGTGGGTGGAGGCAATCTTTCTTTCTAGGCGGTGGAAGGAATGCTTCGCCACTAACAGGCATGGAGGGCCACAAGGAGGTACACGCTTCTAGGTGCGCCTTCTCGGGGCCGGTTTGCTCGTATCGCGCGAGGTCGTGGTGCGATCGCTGGCTTTCGTGCTCTTCGGATCAAAGGGTCTTTTTTGGAACAGTGGCCGAGGCGTCGGATTTTTTCTTGCTTCCTCAGGGTGATGGGCGATACAAGCTCCAGTTTTCATCGTCGTGGTTTTTGTGCTGCCGCGATAGCGCTGTTGGGTGTGCGCGGAGAGACCCGGAATGCTGCTCCGAGGACGTGCTCTTCGCGCTAGAGATGGACGAAAGTGGAAGTAGTGTTTCATTCCATGATCTCCTGTCAAAGTTTTGCTCATCTTTTTTTTCTTTCGCTTGCAGGAGCTAGCTTTCGTGGAGGATCTCAAGCTGGATATCTCACGAGTGATTGGCATGGTCGTTTGTATGGAGGAACGGCCAAGGCAAGGAAATGGGAGATGTTTATGCTCGTAGAAAGAGCTATGGAGGACGTTCCAAAGATTGCTCCGTGGTAAGGGGTTTTCTTCTTTTTTCTGTCTGGCAGCTTTTACGTGGTGTGTTGGAGAGAGAAGGACTGATCGCCTTGCTGCAGGATTGTCCGGGCTCCAGTGAGAGTAACGTTGCAGGCGAGCACCAAAAAATATTTATGTGCTGCGAGACACGTTGTCAGCGCCCGTGCGGAGGTATCGGTTGTTGTTTGTTGCTACGTTGTTGTTCATGCTTTTAGTCGTGGTGTTGTTTTGATTTTGCTCGTACCTTTTCTTCATTACAGGCTCCTTGTTGCTGTGAGGAATTCCTGATCGATTTAATCTTTTCGTCGTTTCCAGCTGCGAAGAGCGAGACTGCCAAGCCTTCACAGAAATCCAGAGGTTTGTGGCAAGCTTTGCTTGGGCGAGGTGAGGAAGAGGAGGAGGCGGAGGTTGTCAGTGAGCCGGCAAGGCATTGCACCATTCGTACCAACGACGGGACGTGCTTGGTATGTTGTCCAACTTACGTTGCAAAAACCATCTCTTGCGACTCATGTTTGTTGTCTGCGCGAACAGCTGAGCGCTGAGCCGGATGGGAATGTTTTTACCACTCGACTCAATCATGCACAAGGGCGAGAAACGTTTTCTATCCAGCTTCACTCGGATAGCAAGATAAGTATCGAACAGGCAACGTCGGAGTCGGATTCACAGGGATATCTCAGTGTGGAGTTTGGCCAGTTGATATACAAAAGGGTTCTCAGGAGAGGCAACGATTTGTTCAATATCCAGCTTGCAAGCGGCTCACGTATCCTTCTCCGAAGCGTTCACGGCGGTTTTTTAAGCACAGACACCGGCAAATGCAGGATAGTTTCTAGCGAGAAAAAGGATTTCTTGCAGGGAATTGGCGCCTGGCATCTGAGAGCTCACGGTGATTCCCTGTACACGCTGACATCTCTGTCCACTGTATCAAAGCGTCGAGCCGATGTATACATGTTTGTCGACGCTTCCGGTCGTGTCAATCAGGTTCGTATCATTTCTTTATCTCATCAAGTTTCTGATAACCTTTGTTGATGCTATCGTTTTTCAGTCCAGTGATCCAGCGGTACACTTTCCCTGCTCTGCTTCTCTGTTTGAGATCAAACCGGTGTCTAACGCGACCATACTTCCCGGAACCATTTGTAGAAACGCAAGCATAATTGGCTTCACGATACGGACTGCTCGGAAGATCCACGGGAAACAGTAAGCTTGTTTTGCCGTCTTCGTTCTTTTGTTATAACAGGGCTTTTTCTTGTTGTCTACTCTGCAGCCGCTACTTAAGTGCGGAGCCAAATGGTGTGTTAAGAGCTGTGAGGCTGGCTCCGTCTCGCTGGGAGCTTTTCCAGCTTATAGACGTGGATGCAGCTGCGGCAGCAGCAGCTCCGGAAAGTTTCAGCTGTACGCCTGCTGCCGTGAATCGAGAGCCTCCTCCAACATGTGGACCCGTTTTCTCAACGTCGGCTAGCCGCGCAACTAAAACTGGTTTCAGCAGGATTGTTTTGCGTGATGTATCGGCTTGTGACGCAGCAGCCATGGCGCTGCTCGATGGTCACGCGGTTCCCAAAAAGTCCGCTGCTTCACTGCAAGATTTGTGCATCTCTCAAGTCTGCGTTCATGCTTCGGCAGGTATGTGGCTTTCGCAAAAATTCAAAAGCTTTTGATTTACTTGTCACTTGACCGTGCAGAGCTTTCCAGTGAAGAGACCACTCCAGAGTGCCGCAGCAAGACATATTCCGACGAAGAATTTACGGAGCTGGTATCGGCTCTCTGTTCGCTATCTCGGAGGCATGACTTGCTCCCAGCAGGCATTCCTTCGGACTTGACGGACGAGAACACATTCAGCATTCCGGATGATCTTCTTGCAAGAATCTGGGAAACTTGCCGGTAAGCTAGTGTGAAGTTCGAGCTGGATGATTAACTTTTTGTGATGAGCAGGCTGAGACAGGTGCCTCAGAATTCTTGCAAGTGGATGCAAAGTGCATTTCTCCCGCAAACGCAAGCTCAAGGGCCTCGTGCACGGAACAGAGCTGTGTCGCGTTCATCTAGCACGGAAGCCGGCTGGCACTGCACCTCTTGCAAACAGAGCAACGTTCTTCCGATGGATGCTGCAGTGAATCCTGGTTCGTCTATAAACTTTTCCATTTGGAAGTTTCTAAGAGCTCTTGCTAGTTTCGTTTTGCAGCGCACCATAAGTATCTAGAGGTGCAATCGCGTGTGTATAGCCGTGCCATTCAATCGACAGGGATCCTTTGGAATATCATCTCGCTTGCTGGAGTGAGGTACTATTCGCCATCATCCTTGAGCTGCTAAGAGATTCCTAAAGCATCTAATGGTGTGGTTTCTGTGCAGCATAATGTCCACAGCGCTGTTCTGTCAGCTCAAAGCCGCTGCTACTCGACGAAGTCTCTCGTTTTAGGCCGAAACAAAAGGAAAACGTCGCCAAGCGAGCGTTTCACGAAGAAGAAGAAGAAACGAAGAAACTGGTTTGTATATAATAGGCGGGGAAATTTATTTCAGGCGATCGTTATCATGCTTGATCTACTTGATTTGAGAGAAGGGTCTATATCAAACAAGGCAAAAAAATCTGGAAAAACCATACAAAGTTTTGACATTGTGAAAGATTTGCCGATAAAAACTAGTAAGCCTCTCCCAGGTTACGTAAAGTTTGCGTTCCTTGCGTGACAAAACTCCTTGCGGGGATTTGCGTGTGGGTTTGTCAACGCAAAGCGCTCGCTAAACTTTTCTAAAAGTTTGGCGCTCACGAGATCTATACCAGCAGATAAAAAAAGTTGGTAAAGAGGTTAAAAAAGATGGTAAGAAGGTCTTTTTCACCTTGTAAAATTAAAGTTCGATCTTAGTTAAGTGTTTGTTGTGCTGTCCAGTGGAGAGTGGTTGCAGTGCCAACCACATTGACAGAGCTACTGGGATATTCGTCACCGTAATCGAGTATATTCGCCGGTAACGGCCAGAGTCGGATCTTCTTGCCCCGACAGGGTAAATACGAAGTTACCTCTCACGTGGACGGCGCACATAACACCCGGAGAAAAAGGTGAAAAAGGTAGAAATAGAGCCCGGAGGAAAAGGGGGAAAAGAAGCGCCCAGCGCGCTAGATTTGGAAATTAGGGTTCTTGTGTTTGGTCCCGCGGTAGGGTAGATTCCGGAGGGGATCGGTGGGGAAATCTGGGACACCCTGCGCGCCGGAGCTCATGGTGGTGTGAATCGCGTCCCGGAATTTTATCGCAGCGATGGCGAGCGAGAAGAGGCAGAGGCTGGCGGGGGATGTGGGATCCTGGGCGCTCAATGTCGTCACTTCCGTGGGCTTGATCTTCGTCAACAAGGTGGTTATGTCGAGCTATGGCTTTAGATTCGGTGGGTTGCCCGCATTCTTTGGGGGAATTTTCTGATGCTCATCTCTCTCGCGGTGTTTGGTCAGCTACGACGCTCACAGCGTGCCATTTTGGAGTCACGTCCCTCGCAGGCTTTGCCTCAGCGGCGCTGGGCTACACCACGCTCAAGCCGATCCCTTTCTGGGATCTCTTTTGGTTCTCGCTCGTTGCGAACGTCTCCATTGTGGGAATGAATCTTAGCCTTTTGCTCAACTCGGTCGGCTTCTACCAGGTTAGTCTCCAAGGATTCCTGTCCAGAGCTCTCACTTTCTCTTTTTTCTTTCTCTTTTTGCTTGCTTGATCCAGATCGCGAAGCTGAGCATGATACCAGTGGTTTGCGTCTTGGAGAGAGTGCTCAACGCCAAAACTTACAGCAGACCGGTGATACTCTCGGTGATCATGGTCGTGTTTGGCGTCGCCATTGTCACAGTAACAGATGTGACTGTGAACTTCAAAGGATTCATGGCTGCAGTTATGGCCGTGCTAGCTACGGCATTGCAACAGATCGTAAGGAACCTTCGTTTTTTTTCTTCTTTTACTTTCTGACTTTCAAAGCCTCTGACGTCGTTTTTCTCTTGTCGCAGTTCATCGGTTCGTTGCAAAAGAAGCACAACGTTTCCTCGTTTGAGCTACTGAGCAAGACCGCTCCAATCCAGGCTGCCTCGCTGCTACCTCTGGGACCATTCATGGATTTTGCCTTGACAGGGAACTACTTGTTGAACTACACCTTATCGACGGCAGCATTTGTAAGTTCCTGCTCTTTTTTTCTCTTGGATCGACTGCTCATTCGGTACTATCTTTTGTTTGTGGTTTCCAGCTCTTCATCAGCCTTTCGTGCCTCCTGGCCGTGGGCTGCAACGTAAGTCAGTATCTCGTCATTGGCCGATTCTCGGCCGTGACGTTCCAAGTTCTGGGACACATAAAAACGGTGTGTGTTCTTGCGATGGGCTGGCTGTTTTTCCACGACATAATCACGTCCAAGAACATCCTTGGCATGGTGATCACGGTGATTGGCATGGTTTTTTACGGAAGAGCTGCCGAGGCCGAGAAGAAGGCCGCAGCGGCAGCCCCGGCTTACATCAAGAGCAACACCAGCAGCGACCCTTTTACTGTTGGCGACGAAGAAGACGTGTCGTTGCTCAAGGCCAGCGATTTCCAAGAGCATATAGGAGCTCCTCCTGTCAAAGACATAGAGCTGGGATTCGAGACAAGCAAGCGGTGATTGTATAGGAACAAGAAATGCTTCTTCAAGATAGAGAAAAAAAAAGGAGAATTTGATCCAATGAAACTGAAGCTTAAAACACAACGATGGGGCAATGAAAAATTATGCTTTCAGATATAAACTTCAATCTACTTTTAAATTTTAAAAATTGTTGGTTATCTGAGGTCCAAAGTGTACTGTTATGATACTGTATATTAATATTAATGTAGTGGGATTTTAGTAGCTATTGGATTGATTTCAATTCGAATTACTCACTTTTGTATATAAGCTGGGGTTTTTGGGCTAATTGATATGTATATTTTTTGTATTCTTTTGCCATATTTTATGCACTCACATTGGTAAAGGTGGGGGGCATCTTTAATTGTCCTTGATAAGTGCTTGGATTTGAAATTTTGATTTAGATCTAACTTTTGCATCATTTAGATTTAACATTTTTCATTTCATTTCTTTTGTTCTTTCTTTTCAAGATTTTGGTTTGAATTTAACTTTTGCATTGTTTAGATCTCCCTTTCTTTCTAATTTTTTTTTCATTTTTTTTTGTTTTTTGCTTTTTCTTTTTCATTCATCTTTATGGTAGAGCAGCAATCTCTTCCTCCTTTGACTTTAGAATAGCAGTTGGTGTAATTACTTAATGCTATGCGATTATTGTTGAACAACCAAACTCAATTAATGGCAGCATTCACATCACATGGTACAACTTCTATTGCTCTTAGTGTCAATCCTTGCATTCGGCTGGATTCTTTCGTGGGAATTTTGAGGATGATGCATATCATTGGTTAAATCACTTCATAGTGATTGTCACATATCATTCTTAGGATGATGCTCTATGTTTACATGAGTTTCCTATGTGTTTCAAAAGGACGGCACTGTAGTGGTATAATAGTTTGAGCGTAGCCACTTGTGACGATTGGAGTATTCTCCAAATGTCTTTAAACACACATTTGGACATGCTAACAATTGTGATGATGCCTTCCAACAATTACATTGTCTTCGTTAAGGGCCATTTGAATTAGTGATGCAATTTGGCATTTGTTTCCAAAGCCTCTTTCTTCATATGAAGCCAAATATATCAGAGCGGATCAAGCTAAGAATGTTGTGGCTAGCACTTCATCAAAATTTTGTAGAACTTATGCATAAACTTAGATGTCACCTTTTCCATTTTGCACTTTCAGCTCCACTTCTTGTGGGAGATGGTCTTATTCCAATAAAGGTTGATATTCCGAGTTCAAGGACAAGGTCAAGGATGTAGTCGTGGCCATGATGTCTACTGCTAAGCGTGTAATGAAGTTGGTTACATTTATTGGTGTTGTCAACTTTTTCCGGATTAGTGACCTTCATTTCCTAGATGGAGACTTTGGCATCAACAACATTCTATTGGTGTTGCTGCAGTATAAAGTTTGGGCACCAAGATGTTTTTGGGAATTAGGTGAGTAGTGGAGGGTTTTTGTGCAAATAAGTCAGTGACACTTTCATCTTTCTTTCAAAAGTATTATCAAGTGTTCACTTGGCATCAATTCATCTAATGTTTATTTTCCAAGCTCATTATTAAAACAAGAGGTCTCCTATTATTCTCTCTATATTGGTTAATACAGGCTCGAGTTTATCTTTTATTGCTTGGCTTGTTGCCACACGTTGCCGTCTACATTTACATTATGCCGCAAAGCTAGTTTTCATTATGTATGGCAACAACCATACACACGCATGTGCACAAAATGAAGTAGACCTAATTGTGCGTGTGGGCAATCTTGAGCTTGAGCTGTAGTCATTGCAAATGGTGTCAAGTTAAACTTTTGACCTCATCCTTAGTATGTATTAGTTGCGACACAATCATGTTAAATGTGACTTTAAAGCCTCTTTTCATTGTCTCATACTTTTTATATTTCTTCCATTCCTCTCACTTTTATTCCTCTTTGTCCCTCTACTTCTACATCTACTTCCATCACTTTTATCTCCCCATTACTTCTTTCTATATGTACATCTTATTTCTCTATTCCCTCTTCTAATCCCTTTGATGGTTTTTGTGTTGCAGTAGTTGATCGACTCATGAAAGAGTATGTTGATCTCTTTAAATTTAACCTGTCATCTAGGGCTAAGATTGCAATATGTCATCCTATTCCAACTGGGGATACTTGTCTAATCAGGGTTCTTATTTGTCATCAATCATCAAAAGAGATGAAGATTTTACATACAAACATTAAAGAAATGTTAGAAAAAGGTGTTATTTGAAAATTGCGGAGTCCTTAGATGTGTAAACCTCATCTTATGACAAAGTTTGATGGGAGTATTTATTTCTGCATTAACTATCGTTTATTAAATGAAGTGACAATCCTCAATATGTATCCTCTTCCTCACACTACTGATCTCTTAAAAAAAGTCATTAGTGCACCAAGTTAGATCTAACTTTTAGGTATTGACAAGTTCCAATAGCCAAAGAAGATATTCCAAAGACTACTTTTCGTACATCATTTGGTTTGTACAAGTTCTTGATGATATCATTTGGTTTGAATACTGTTTTAGCAACTTTCTAGTGGATGATGGACGAGGTTATTTACAACATGCCGGAAGTGACTGTTGGCTTCATTAATAATGTCTTAATCCACTTAAAGGGGACATGGGAGGAACATATCCATGATGTTTGAAAAGTGTTGAATTGGCTATAAAAAGTTGGTTTAAAGTATCAAAGTGTGTATTTGGGTCCAAGAACATGACTTATCTTAATTTTATATTTCTTGTGAGGGTTTGCAGGTTGATCATGACAAACTTGTAGCTGTTCTAAAGTTCCCTTCTTCAAAGTGTGTGAATAATATGCAACACTTTCTAGGCAAGGTGTAATATCTTGGTCAATTTGTTGATCAGATTTTTTATCACATTACACCATTGCAAGTGTTACTAAAGTTGTTAATATTGTTTTTTATCTAATATATGGATTGTGAATGGGCGTTTACAGATCTCAAAGTGCTATTGATGACTCCTCTAGTTTTGTCATATCCTGATTACACTCGACCTTTCATTTTGAACGTGGATGCTTTTGATATCGATCTTAGAGAAGTGTTCATGCCAAAGAGCCCAAGTGTGCCTAATTAGCACCATCCTATTGTATATATTAACTGTACATTACAACTAACGGAGGTGAACTATTCCACGATAGAGAAGGAGTGTTTAGTAGTAATTTGGAGTTTCAAAAAACTTCATGCATATCTACATAGTTCTTAAACATTACTAGAAGGTAATTATGTTGTAGTTACTTCATTGTTAAAATGGAAGAACTTAGTTAGTCGTACTGCTTAGTGGGCTTTGAAACTTCCATTATATGATTTTGATATTGTTCATCACCCAGGGAGTTTTATAGCTAATGCTGATGCCCTTTTTTGAGCTCCTCTTCCTTCTTCCCTCTCTTTTCATATTTCTTACAAACCTATTATTTTAGTATTTATGGATTTTTTAGACAAAGATTTTGTGCCATTAGCAGTTGTTATACTTGATGTTTAGTGTTCACAAAGTGCAAAACAAGATTTACCTTCTCTTGATGAGGTTCATAAAACTCAAAAGATTGAGTTGTGGATTTGAAGTCTTTGCAATAGGTATGAGAATCTTACATCACTTGCTAATGACTTGCCATTTCAGCATTTACATTCTCAATATTCATCTTAAGAACAATCTTCTTTATTTTGTGAAGACGGATCCTAATGATCATTTATGGTTGGTGGTGTCTTCGATCTTTATTTCATGCTTTCTTCATACTCATGTTTTAGGCGGGCATATGACATTGTTGTGTGACGAGAAGCTATGCAAAACTTTATATTTGTAGCGCACCTTATCTCTCTCCCCTTAATCCAACTGGAAAAGGGGATTTCCCTTAGTGGCTATTTTAGTGGCCCAAGGTTCCACTCGCCCCCCCTTTAGAGATGTCAATGTCCTCATTGACTATTGACTAACAACCCCTACTGAGCCAAGGGGAACCAGCACCTCCATTTTCCATGTCAGCACCTCCATTTTCCATGTGAGGCAACTAGTCATCCACCCGTACCGCAGTCCCACAGCACTCACCCCCCTTTCAGAGATGTCAATGCCAAGGGGAACCAGCACCTCCATTTTCCATGTCAGCACTTCCATTTTCCATGTGAGGCAACTAGTCATCCACCCGTACCGCAGTCCCACAGCACTCACCCCCCCTTCAGAGATGTCAATGTCCTCATTGACTATTGACTAACAACCCCTACTGAGCCAAAGGGAACCAGCACTTCCATTTCCGCACTTAATCTACCAATCCTTCCATTGTGTAGACTAGCACCTCCATTTTCCATGTCAGCACTTCCATTTTCCATGTGAGGCAACTAGTCATCCACCCGTACCGCAGTCCCACAGCACTCACCCCCCCTTCAGAGATGTCAATGTCCTCATTGACTATTGACTAACAACCCCTACTGAGCCAAAGGGAACCAGCACTTCCATTTCCGCACTTAATCTACCAATCCTTCCATTGTGTAGACTAGCTATTCCATGTGAGGCAACTAGTCATCCACCCATACCGCAGTCCCACAGTGAATACTTTCGTCTGTGGATACTCCACACAAGAGGAAGGATGTACGTATGGATGCCCAATACATATAATTTCAAATTTACCATACCGCAGTCTCACAGTGGATACTTTCGTCTGTGGATACTCCACACAAGAGGAAGGATGTACGTATGGATGCCCAATACATATAATTTCAAATTTAGGGGTAGGAATATACCTTGCTCAAGGGTATATTATACTTTAAGTAGCCACTAATCAATGGGAATCGAACCCATGCCATTTGCTCTGATACCAACTGTACCGCACCTTATCTCTCTCCCCTTAAGCCAACTGGAAAAGGGGCAATTGCTTGATGAGAGAGCCCTTAGTGGCTATTTTATCCCCATTTATCCCCCAAGGTTCCAAGGATCCACGGTGACAGTATATCCAAATCTCATCCCATGATCACATGCGCTACAATATTAGCCAGAAATGCGATGTGATGTTATCTAGTATGTGCATAGTTGCATTTGGTGCCAAGCTCGTAATACTCCCTGTCGTGCTAAAGAAGGATGGTTGGAGTTAACTGTAGTTTCCCATCTATTTGAGTTAGTGGCAATTGATTTAATGGGGCATTTTCCATAATCGAC